AGGCTCTTAATCTGTTGTGCAAATGAATAAACGATTATACATTTTATCTTCATATATAATTATTCCTCTTTGTAATGTTTATCATTCATTCTCTATATTTATAACATCGTTGTTAGTATAGATAAGACCAGTGGTAGTTAGTGTAACACTAATACTAACTCCTCTCGTTTCTTCAACATTTACTATGTGCTGGGTCCTCTGCTAAGCACTTTTCATATGCAGCAGCCTATGAGGTCAGCATATTAGTACCTCGCCCCCGTGCGCCGACAGATGATGGAAGTCTGGCGCACAGAGGTTAAGTGATTTAAGTTCCTGTAGCTACTAGGCTACCTGGGATTTAAGTTCAGCAGTCTGACGTAGGCCCTTTTATAACTGTGCTCTCCAGTACAGATGACCAGGTCTGATTTACTCTAAAGTTGGTTTATTTGAATCACTGAAGACATAATATCCAGAGACCAGAAGAACTCTCACTTTTATTATGCAGTTCATATCTAGACATAAAGTTCTCGTTGAGTTTCAGAAAAAGTTACTTACTAGTGCTTGTTGAAGTACTGAATCATGACATGGATGGTGTTTTGAAGGCATGATTTAGCACTGTTTGAGTGTGATTAGGGCAGGGAGTTCCCTTGTAAGGGAAAGGTCATGGGCTGGAATCCTGTGGGTGTCAGTTAGCTTGCTCGCCCTATGGCCAAAGCCTGCCCTTTTAACTCTAGCTCTCCCCCAACAAAAAGGGGCATGTCGGTATAAGGGGTGCCAGATGTGAGGATGTAGATGGGCCAGTGCCCATCCGTCACTAGGATGATGGCCAAAAATCAAAGCTCTGTCACTGAAAGCCTCAGTGAAAGAATAGATATTTTTATATATAATATATACAAATATTTTTATTTACTTGAAAATATATTTTTTCATATAAGATGACAAGATGAGACATATATATATATATATATATATATAGTCTCATATTTTTATACTCTCCTTTCTGTTTTGGGCCAGATTTTATTTTCTTTTAACCTAGACTTATTTTCGAAATTCCCCCTTTTGGGGTCTCTAAACCTCCATATTTGAATTTAACTTTCCGTAAGTAGGACCTAGGACAGTGCCATAAGCATAGTAATGGCTCAAATGGTTAAACTGTGTAGCAGAAAAATCTTGTGGTCACCTCAGCCATTTGTAACATCTTGTATCCCGATGTAGGCTGGCTTTCCTTATTCTTGACATACCTTTATGGGAATATCAACAAAAGATAGGTAGAAAGATTGATAGAGAGGCCCTTGTAATGGAGTAGTTTTCTATTTGTTAACATTGCCGAGTTGAAATGAGAGCATCTGGGAATCTAAAGTAGGAACTTAAGTCAAAAATCTGTCAATAATACTGTTATTAATATTAATACATTGATCATAATTATTGATATAAATTTTAGGTTGAACCATATGAAATGGCCAATATTGAACCATTTTGACCTATGAAAATGGCCGTTTTTGTGGTTTAAACTAAAATGCTGGTAGCAGCTCCCTCGTATTGATTGCTTACTATGTGCCAGGACTGTGCTCCCTGATTTCGTGCAGAACTGCATCCTCCAACCTCATGAGGCACGTAAAATTACTTCCCCCATTTTACAGACAGTAGAACAGGTTAGGGAAGTTAAGTAACTTTTCCGTAGTCATTTAGAGCAACACTTTAATGTTTAACTCTGCTGTTATTTTCCTTGCGATGCTCACTGAGTCAGTAGAACATGATGAGATGAGAAGGAAGATAAGAATGTTTTACTGTTAGAACAGCTCTGACACTTTTGAACCAGTGGCAGCTCTGAGGCGTTTTGAGCCAGTGGTGTTGTGAAGTAATTGTATCATCAGTTAGCAGAGAAATGCACAAAGGCTTTAGCTTCTGTTTGGCTCTGGCTGATCTTTGTGAACCCTCAGCACTCGTACTCAGTAACTGCTGTAAATCAGGGCAGGGTACAGCAGCTTCTGCCATATGAGCAGGGTTTATTATTACTTCTCATTCTGGTTGCCTTTGCCAGCCTTCCACTTTTCTAGGTGAGAGCTTGCCTTTCTGCTTAGACTTTTGAAATGCAGCTGCTCCTAACTGCCCAGCTGATCTGCATCACTTTCTGCCTAGTCTTTTGCTGTCTGCTGGACCCTGTGTGTGAGAGGATGCTTAGTCTTGCCCCTCCTGGTTCAGCCCGCTACCCTTGCCTGGACTTGACTGTAGAATTCCATTGTTTTCAGACATGGCCTCACTGCGGGTAAAAGCAGTAGTCTTGCCTCTGAGCTGAGTCTTAGGACGGACGTGGGAATGCATAGGCATTTAGATGTCTTACCCGTAATCGCTGAAAGAATGTGATGAACTACGGCTTGGGCTTTATCGTGGCTTTTGGTCCAGGGCTCAGACCATGGTTTGGGGTCTATTTTAGACCCTAGCTTAATGATGCTATTTGTTGTAACTTTTTCTTTCTTTTTTTTTCCCCACTTCTTTTTCTCCCCAAATCCCGCTAGGACATAGTTATATATTCTAGTTGTGAGTGCCTCTGGTTGTGCTATGTGGGATGCTACCTCAGCATGGCCTGATGAGTGGTGCCATGTCCGCGCCCAGGATCCAAACCAGCGAAACCCTGGGCCACTGAAGCAGAATGCGTGAACTTAACCACTCGGCCACGGGGTTAACTTTTCCCATCATTAGAGGCCATTAGGACAGTTGGTAAATTGAGTATAGTAAATGAAGTAAAATGTTTTGTGAAATTAATGAATATAGAGGTATATTAATAGCAACAACAAAAAAGTCACACTTGACTACTGAGTATTATAGATGAGTTTCTTTTTTTTTCTTTCTTTTTTATTTTTTTGAGGAAGATTAGCCCTGATCTAACATCCGCTGCCAATTCTAATCTTTTTGCTGAGGAAGACTAGCCTTGAGCTAACATCTGTGTCCATCTTCCTCTACTTTATATGTGGGACGCCTGCCACAGCATGGCTTGACATGTGGTGCATAGCTCTGTACCTGGGATCTGAACTGGCAAACCCCAGGCTGCTGAAGTGGAACGTGTCAACTTAACAGCCGCACCACTGGGCTGGCCCCTATAATGAGTTTCTTTGGCAGTTTTACATATTAATTGCTAAAAATATATCAGCACCTTTTACATGATTAACTTACCAGGTGCAGATGAATTCCTTCCTTCATAGAACCATTATTCAGTCTATTTAGATTTATTCTATTTTTTGTCTCTCAAAGTTCATTTTTAAGGTAACATGATCTTGGAGTAGGGAATGAAGCAAATTTTGGAAATATTATCTCATGATACTACTCAGCCTAGTTTTTCTTATTGAAAAGTACTGTCTTAAAAAAATGTATATTTACAACACTTACTGAAACAGGTTTATTGGATAATGGCAACAGTGCTTGGGTTGAAAACAGCAATGCAAAATTTGACTTAGTTTTCTCACTTTCAGGAATTTTCATTAGATCCCCTGTACAGCATTATCAGCTATAAATAGAGATCAGCTAATTTGATAAAGAGGCTGTAGGTCTGCAGATAATTGAACAAATATATCATGGTTTAAAAAAGCTCACATGAGATGACAGTAATAGTGAATAGGACAGAGGAGAGAAAAGAAGGGGGAAAAAGAAAAATAGGAAGGAACAATGATGGATTTGTGTGCAAACAAAATACAGTGCCAATACCGACCTACTTAACACGCTTTCTCACTAGGAGGCCATTGTTCTTTCTCAAACTCTTTTTGCTTGGCTGCTTTCCTTCCCCGTTTAGAAGGAGGACAGTCCCCCCTCTCTCCCCCTCTTGTCCTTTGGCCAGAGGCTAATGTTGTGGGGGAAGTAATGGAATTTTGCATCTGCAAATGTGGGCAGCCTCTGCAAGGGCTGGCTTCCAGAAGAAATCCTCTTATCCTCTGAGATACTTTTACATTGGCTGATTTTTTAAATCTTAATGTTTAAAATAGGCTTCTTTAGATAGATGAGTAATATTTCTTCTTGTTTCTCTCTCCCTTTATGCCCTTTTGGGGGTATGCATGTCTTGATATACATAATGCCTATGGGGAAAGTGTTTTGGTATAAGGTGTGTGTATGCGTGTGCTAAATTCCAAGGGTAAGAGTGGCAGGACTGGGGAGAATATGTGCATACTGTGGTATCCAGAAAGACTTCTACTTTTAGAAGAGACACTTGGAGAGTTAGGACAGAAAGTATAAAAATATGTGGCCAAATCACAATGCCCGACAAAGGGCTGGCTGTTAGATGGTGTGTTCACACAGGCCTCTGCACTCCATCCAAGTGACTAATCACTTAATGTCATTAGTGTAGATTAACGTGTGTAGAAACCATGTGGGTTAGTGGGTTGGTACTTCTTGATGCTGTGAAAGTATAGGGTTTAAGTATCTCTACAAATAGCAGACAACAGGATACTTTGGACCTTGAGTAGCAGATACCAAGCTGCTTTACCTATACACGTGTGTATTCCGTGTCTTGCTTGACCATATTTGCCAAGCCCTAACATGGCACATGTTGTAGGTAGGGATGTGCTTATGGGGACAGCGCGATAAAGTATTTAGAATTGGGACTATCCCATAGAATTCATACATTCTGCATGCATTCAACAAGTACTTACAGAATGCCTACTATATGTCAGGCATCATTATGGGTGCTAGGGTTGCAGCGGTGATAAAATAAGAAAAATCCCTCATGCTCTAGAGGGGGCAAGAGACAATAAATAGATAAATAAGTAAAAAAGTAGGGTAGGTCAGATAGCAATGGGTACTAGGGAGGAAACAAAGCATATACAAGGGGGCTAGGAATTGTTGCTGGGGTGTGTAGGAATTGCAGTTTGGTAGGGAGTGAGCCATATTCCTCCCTGGGACATGTGGTCCTCGTAGTACCTATGTGCTCTGCCCAACCACAGCTCTTAAGTCTCCTGCATTATTTCCCTTAGGTTCCCCAACCTGCTCCACCTCAAGAAAAGAGAACTTTTCAGCATATAGAGGTAGATAGAATGAGTACAAATTAAATCAAAGCACAACACCCCAAACTCCTTTTGTTTATGGTATAATTAGCTAAAATAACTCAATAACAAATATTCAGATACCCAGAGAGAGATGTCTGGCAGGTTGTTAAAAAAAATTGCTCTTAATCTGAACATTTGAGTCTGAATCTTTGTAGCTCCAATACGATTGTCATTCTTAGCTTGATTAAGGAGACCAGTGATTAGAGGGAAGCAATATTTCCAGGCCAGGGATCTCACACAGTATGGCTGATGAGTGGAGTAGGTCCACACCCGGGATCTGAACCCACAAACCCTGGGCCACCGAAGCGGAGTGAATGGAACTTTAACCACTCGGCCATGGGGCCGGGCCCCTATGACAAAGTTTAATTTATAACTTAGGCACAGTAAGAGATTAACAACAGTAACCAATAATAAAGTTGGCTTTGCGGCCATTATTAAGTAAAATAAAGAACTACTTGAACACAGGCACCGCAACATCTCAGCAGTCAGCCTGATAACTGAGACGGCTACTAAGTGACTAAAGGGGGTGGCGCATACAGCATGGACACATTGGACAAAGGGATGATGCACGTCCCAGACAGGACAGAGCGGGATAGCACCAGATTTCATCATGCTACTCAGAACAGGGTGCACTTTAGAATTTATGATGTGTTTATTTCTGCAATTTTCCATTTAATATTTTCAGATCACAGCTGACCGTGAGTAACCAAAACTGCGGCAAGCAAAACCAGAGATAAGGGGAGACTACTGTATTTTCAGGGTCAGAGCTATCCCAGAAGCCTCAAGATGAGCAGATTCAGGAGACCTGGAGTTCCATATGATAGTTAAATCGATACAGCAGAAAGACATCACATGACCCACGGTGCAAATACTTACAAGCCATATGCAGTTCCCAGCTGATGTTCAGGAACTACAAATGCCACCATTGGCCACAACGTACAGGCAAGTAATGAATAAGAGATTCCCAGCAGACACTACAGAAAGCAACATGGAAAAAGCTAAAAGTCTTATATGAACCAAAAGTAAATTTCCTTTGATGCAGATGAGCAAGAGTAACATAATAACTAATATACAAATACTCATGCAAATGTTATTGCAATTAGGCTAAAACTCAAATTTAACAGAAAAAAGTCCTGGCCCTCTCTAACAATATGTCTCTAGTGACAAAATACACACACACTGTTTTAACCATTTTATATTATATGCATATATATATATAACTAGCTGGGCCCAAGGTGCAGTCAATGACCAAGCAAGAAAATAAAACTAATTTGCCAAAAGTTATTACCAATGTTTCAGGCAAGCTAATTATCCAGTATTTATTAGGAATTACAAATTAAGCCATCAAGACAACATCACACCAACAGTCCATTATCTTACCTCTGGGTCATCAACACCCAAATGGAGAGCAGGGCAGAGAACCAACAACCACCACTGGTTGTTAAACATCACCTAACGCTGACTTTTTCTTCAATTAAAAAAGAAACCTTATGATTTAAGTTAAAATAAGATCGTTTACACCTGTCAGATTGGCAAAGATTAAAATAATGCCAATGTCCAACACAGGCAAGGACACTAAAAACAGACACATTCATATGTTACTGGCAAAGTTTAAATGGGTGGACAGTTATTGGAGTTGTCGTTCACAGTATCTATCAAGATGTCACATGTGCAAAGCCTCCGCTACAGCGTTTCCGCTTCTAGGAATCTGTCCTCCAGAATTCTCACCAAGTGCACAAATAAATATACAGGGAAGAAACGCAGCACTTCAGCCTGTGGTCTTAGAAATGACATTCTGAAGAACAGTAACACAAACTTGATGAATTCACTATCACTTCTGACCTACTAAGAGTCAAAAACAAAAGAATTCAAAACCATGGATATTGGGCCGACAGCTTTTTTTGGTCACCTATGATGGAATTATTTCTTTTAATGAAATACAAAAAACAAAAATTAAGCTAACAAGCATTTGGCTTTTATAAGACTACTTTATTTCAAATTCTATTTCAGCATTAAGATCACTCTGTTAAATAAGACAAATGAAAAGACAAGTACCTTATGCGTGAATATTAATACTGATACTCTGAAAATGTTTTGCAGAAACTGAAATCAAGTTATCGTTCTCTGCACTGTCATAAGCACTCCATCGGAGGAGCTGACTGTGCCTCCAGACATGCACACAGAGTCCTGGCTGAAGCCCCAAGCCCCCAGGTGCTCATGGAGACATTACCATAGCAATCCAAGGGTTCCACAGCGTCAAGGCCAGCATCATGTGGGAAGCAAGAGTGGCTGCCACTGCACACAGGACCCAAACAATGTTCCTTCCTGTTTTATCCACCAGGAGCCCAAATACTGGGGACATGGGAGCTGATATGACATAGACAACACTGTCCAGAGAACATAAAAGATATTTAATAAAACATGTCACAGCTAAAAAAAAAAAAAAAAATGCACAAAGTCCCTAAAACCATCAGGCAAAGCAAATCCTAGCTCATTAATTTAACATTAGTCTAAAACGGTCATCGGTAAACAGAAATATGAAGAGCGGTGCAAGACTTCTTCGGTTTTCCATTAATGCACAGATGGCCACTCAGGATTCAAGTCCCACCAGAGTCTTGGCCTCACAGTGGATGTTACATCACATAAGTCTTTTTTGTCTCAAACAACTGGCTATAATTAAAGATCCAGGCTATGCACACAATAAGCACTTAGAGAATTAATGAAATACCTGTTAATTGCACTTGCTGCCTCAGATGAAAATCCAAACTTCTCTATAAAGAAAACTAAAATAAAGAGAGAGAGAAATAAACACTTTAGAGAGAACTGCTGTTTTTAAAAAATAAAGGCAAAATAAAGCTGAATAAAAATAACTAGGCCTTCTTGATACTGTTTTCCTACCTTATTTGATATTCACCTTCAAGCAATCAGCTAAAGGTTTAGTGTTTATACAAAAACTTCAACTAAATAAAATATACTGATGCCTAGTTTTTCTCCCTTTTACATATACAGCAAACAGTACAAATTTTTCAGAAAACCAAATGTATTGCTACCAGAAATTGCGACTGCTTCTTTCCCTTAAAAGCAGCACTGAATAGGTTCCTCGCTAAATAACAGATGGGGGTTTGTTTCAAATTATTTAAAACAACAGCCTGAATTTAAAGCTTATAATTACAAGACGCATCCTCACAAACACACTCTCACACTGCTCTGTTTAAGCAGCTGCCAATGAAAAAGCAGAGAGAGGGAGAAGATAAAGCGAAGAAGGATTTGCGTTGAACCCTGAATTTGAGTCTGGAGGAACCACAGTCCTAGCAAATGCAAGTGTGCCCAGTCGCCGTGAGACAACACGACATCTCCATTCTCAATCAGAGGATTCCTAACCAGGGAATACAGGGGAAGTGAAGAAGAATACACATCCAAAATCAAGTATTAAAATAAATCTACATTATAAATCAAAACTGTTATTAGGGATCTCTTCAAAAGAATAATAAAAGTATTAAACCAATACTAGGGGACAGCCCAGTGGCATAGTGGTTAAGTTCGCACGTTCTGCTTCGGTGGCCCGGGGTGCTCCGGTTTGGATCCCAGGTGCGGACATGGCACCACTTGGCATGGCATGCTGTGGTAGGCGTCCCACATATAAAGAGAGGAAGATGGACACGGATGTTAGCTCAGGGCCAGGCTTCCTTATCAAAAAAGAGGAGGACTGGCAGTAGTTAGCTCAGGGCTACTCTTCCAAAAAAAAACCAATAGTAAACCTTAAGCTAAGAAAATCAGCTGTATCCCAGATGTAAAACAATTCCTGTGTAAATATAAATTATAACCAGAGAAGAAAGATCTACAGCTAAAAACAATTACATTTCTGTGATTGAGCTGTGATTATAATTTAACCCACAAAGATGGAATGCTAGAGAATACTCACTTCCCAAGCCCAATGAAAGGGAACACGGCAACGTAATAGGAGACGCAGATGATAAATATGAGCCACAGGGGTAAGGAGAAGTCCTTCACATCAGTTAACTTAATAACTTCACCTGGGAGGAGGAAGGGAGGCGGGTGTGGGCGTGACCGTCCACATCTATGTCAAGAAGATTTTTCTTTTATCATGTGATTAACATTTGCATTCAGTTTTAAAAAATACTATTCTCAGTAAATTACTGGAAATAGTTTGCGGGATAACTTAAAAAGACATTAGAAAAAGCAAAACCTAAGACTGATACCTACTTCCTGCTCCCTTTCAGGAACACCCATCATTTTGCAAATATACAAAGTACAATCAAGAATGTAAATTATGCCAAAAACACTTAAGGAGAAAGAAAATGTAACCAAAAATTTAGACAAGTGGAAACAGATTTGGAAATAAAAGACACAAGACATGTACTAAGCCTCACTACGTTTATAACACTGCACTAGGAACTTATCTCATTGTAAATTATCTCAAAAAGAACATAATTCCCCAAAGCCCCACTTTTCTTGCATTTATACTTACCTGTTTTTCCTTGTTCTTTATGAAGGATTCTTTCTACTCTGTGATCCAAGTAAGCAAGGGCCAAGGCACAGATTAGGGAAAGGACACACGTTATACCCCCTATAACAAAAACAGAGAGATTTTTTAAAGAGAACTAGACTGAAGGTTCCTGAAAAGGTGCACACTGCGCTGACAGAGAAGACCTGCATTCGGATGCCCGTGAAAGCTCAGTGACAGACAGGACTGACAGGGAGGAGCTGCATACGGACAGCACTCAACTGGCCACTCAACTGGCCGTCAGCAGTCGCCTTACTGCAGCGTTACCTACCAGGCGGCTGGAGAGGAGAGGGCAAGACCAGAACACACCAGTCTAGTCTGCAACGCAGAATATAGACTCAGGAAAGCTGATAACCAGCTAGCAAATCAGTCGTAATTTCTGAACTCAGTCTGCGCACCAATTATTGATGGATGCCAGGAAACAAATTCCAAAGGCAAAGTCCGGTGCTGGGATACCTCAGCCTCCTTCTCATTCTTTCCCACAGTCTGCAACCCCTGCTCCCAGCCCCTGGCAGCCCAAGGGGCCCGCCTCCCTGCAGCACGGCTGGCTCGCTCAGGCTCTCTTTCCCTGGGTATTCAGCATGACTCTCGAATGCTCATCTCACAGTAAAGTAAAGCAGGAGAAAAAGGGAATAAAGTTTACACTTACAAAGAATTTTAAAAAGAAGCTTAGTAAAATAAATGAATCCCTAATTGGCTGACATACTATGTGAGTCCACTTGAAAAAGTGCTGAAGTGAGAGTCAGCAGACACAGGTTCCGCTTCGGGCACTCACAAGCTGAGTGGTATGGAGAGAGACCCCTCTCTGGGCTGCAGCCTCCCCATCTGTAAATAAGAGGCTTTGACTTGATGACAACATAGGGCTTTTCTGGCTCTAAAATTCTTTAAAACTCTCAAATTCTCCATGGTAGAGGGAACTAGAAGGAATCCAGAAGAGCCTTTCAGAGGAAGGAAGAGGTTTTAAGTAAGGCAAAGAACGTGACAGGAGGGCTCTCTAGAGACAGCGTGCCAGTGTGGCACTGCCTCTCCACTGCCCTCTTTGACCAGGCTGTCCCAAGGAATTCTAAGGGAGGCAAGAGGGCACCGGACATTCCCCGACACCCCACAGGCCTCTGCAAGCAACCACCTGTACACCACGGGGCTCGCCAGACAGCATGCTGCTCAGAGAAAAGGCACAGGTGGTGAACCCAGAGGGCCTCACACCCAGCAATTGGCACAGCAGAGCCTCCGCTGAGAGAACCTGAGGCCAGAAGGGACCCAGAGAGCTTTGGTCAAACACCTGTATGTTACAGAAAAGAAAAATGAGGCACTTCCTTGTCCAAATGACGGAACCAGTTAGAGCCAGGACCAGAGCCCAGGCTCCAGCAGGTTTCTTGCCTTATCACATCACCCTTGATCCCGTAACATCTAAGCTCTACAGGCGTCCTAACCGAATGTCATCAGAAGGAAGCAATCTTCCTTCTGCCACAGACCACCAAGGAACACCTCACGGGCATAAGTTCCCGGACTGTCGTCAGAGTTTTCACACACCTCTCCCCTCTGCTCACCACGACAACACTGAGGTAGATGAGGTGGGAAAAGATCCTCCAATGTAAGAAGTGGAAATAAAAGTACAAATGGGGTTGGACCAGCCTAGTGGCATAGTGGTTAAGTTTGCATGCTTCGCTACAGCAGCCCAGGTTCACGAGTTCAGATTTGTCAACATAATTAATTTAAAGTAACAAATTACAAAGGAAAATCAAAGGGTGCTGAAGTTTCAAGCCCCAACTAAGACTTGAATAATAAGAAAAATGAGAAGTACACGACCTGAAGGTGTAATGAACACAGTTCAAGCATCTAAATTCCAACAAACTGACAGCTCAGGCAAAGAGAACAGTCACAGAGAAGGAACGCCAGAGCCTCTGTGACCGTCCTGAGGACGCACAGGGACAGGAGAAGTGCAGAAACATGACTGCGTCTACCCCGCAGCTCTGTGATGGGATCCTCTGGTCCCCGCATCTCACAAGGACCCTAAACACACAAGGCAGAGTAAGCAGAGCCACCCTGGCTGCCCGGGCTCGGCTCACCCCACCGCCTCCTCAGGTCTCCCCACCACTCCAACAGCCCCACCCGCCTCCTAGAAGCCCGAGATTCCTTTCTAAAAACTGAGGGCACCTCAGGACGCCTCAGGACACAGCTGAATGGACAACAACTGATTTGTGGTCACACAGAAAAGAAGCTGAAGATCTCTAGTAGTCAGGATGATGTCACTGAGAATGAGTCTTGCTCAACTGATCCTAGCTCCTTCTCTAAGGAGTTACTAGACGACAAGATCAACAAATTGCCAGGCATATCTTGACTTGCACAAGATGCATTAATGAAGTACTCAGAATATTATTTAGATAATATGGGAATAACACTTAGAAATTGTGGATAAAATTTAGAAAATATGGGAAACCACACTAGTTATCAAAGAATTACAAGTTAAAATAATATTTAGGTGTTTCCTATCAAATTGATGAAACGACTTTTTTTAAAGTAATAATAGCCTGCACTGTCAAAGCTATAATAAAAAGGATTCTCTCATATCCCATGGATGGGGATTTGAACGTCTCTGAGAGGATAATGTGGAAATGTGTGTCAACAGTCCTAAGAAACCCTCATAAACCCTCTGACTCAAAAATAATTCCATGCCTAGCAAGCTAGCCTCAGGAAACAAGCAGAGATGCAGACAAGTTTTATAGAGTGTCACACAACAGTGCCATTTATAACAGCGAAAAATTAAAAAGAACCCACAGGTACAAAAATATAGGAATGTTACATATATAACATACATAGGTGTTAAATATTTCGAACAATAAAATATTACGTTAAAAACTTCTTGTACTGGATTTCTTCTTACCTAAAATATGTTACAAGCATCTTCATGCCATTTATTAGTCTTGGAAAGCTTGATTTTTTTTTTTTCTCTTTCTAATTTTTTTTATTGAGTTATTGATAGGTTACAATCTTGTGAAATTTCAATTGTACATTAATGTTTGTCAGTCATGTTGTAGGTGCACCACTTCACCCTTTGTGCCCACCCCCCACCCCACCTTTCCCCTGGTATCCACTAAACTGTTCTTGATCCATAGTTTTAAATTCCTCCTATGAGTGGAGTCATACACAGATTATCTTTCTCTTGCTGGCTTATTTCACTTAACATCATTCTCTCAAGGTCCATGTTATTGCAAATGGAATGATTTTGTTCTGTTTTGCAGCTGAGTAGTATTCCATTGTATATATGTACCACATCTTCTTTATCCATTCGTCTGTTGATGGGCACTTAGGTTGCTTCCATGTCTTGGCTATTGTAAACAGTGCTGCAATAAACATTGGGGTGCACAGGACTTTTGGGATTGCTGACTTCAGGCTCTTTGGATAAATACCCAGTAGTGGGATGGCTGGATCGTATGGTAGTTCTATTTTTAGTTTTTTGAGGAATCTCCATACTGTTTTCCATAGTGGCTGCACCAGTTTGCATTCCCACCAGCAGTGTGTGAGGGTTCCTTTTTCTCCGCAACCTCTCCAACATTTGTTGCTATTAGTTTTAGATATTTTTGTCATTCTAACGGGTATAAGGTGATATCTTAGTGTAGTTTTGATTTGCATTTCCCTGATGATCAGCGATGATGAGCATCTTTTCATGTGCCTATTGGCCATCAGTATATCTTCTTTGGAGAAATGTCTGTTCATGTCTCCGGCCCATTTTTTGATTGGGTTGTTTGATGTTTTGTGATTGAGTTGTGAGAGTTCTTTATATATTAAGGATATTAAGCCTTTGTCAGATATATGACTTGGAAATATTTTTTCCCAGTTAGTGGGTTGTTTTTTTGTTTCAATCCTGTTTTCATTTGCCTTGAAGAAGCTCTTTAATCTGATGAAGTCCCATTTGTTTATTCTTTCTATTGTTTCCCTCCTCTGAGAAGGCATGGTGTCCGAAAAGATCCTTTTAATATTGATGTCAAAGAGTGTACTGCCTACGTTTTCTTCCAGAAGCCTTATGGTTTCAGGTCTCACCTTTAGGTCTTTAATCCATTTTCAGTTTATTTTGGTGAATGGTGAAAAAGAATGGTCAATTTTCATTCTTTTACATGTGGCTTTCCAGTTTTCCCAGCACCATTTGTTGAAAAGACTTTCTTTTCTCCATTGTATGCCCTCAGCTCCTTTGTCAAAGATAAGCTGTCCATAGATGTGTGGTTTTATTTCTGGGCTTTCAATTTTGTTCCATTGATCTGTGCACCTGTTTTTGTACCAGTACCATGCTGTTTTGATTACTGTAGCTTTATAGTATGTTTTGAAGTCAGGGATTGTGATGCCTCCCGTTTTGTTCTTTTTTCTCAGGATTTGGAAAGCTTGATTTTTAATGGTAAGGATTTTTTTAAAAACCTCTATTCATAGGAGTTTATGAAGAGAAAACCTAAAGGGGTTTGGGACGGTCAGAACACCCTACAGGTTGCATTAATAAAAGCATAATGTTGTTCTCCTGGGTGCCATCTTTCAGACCAAACCTAAAACACCATGATCCTTTCCAGGGTGCAAATGCCGGGAGCAGTGGCCACCCGTGCTCAGTCCAGAGAGGTGTGAGCACCACGGTCAAGCACCTGAAACCAACATCATGCGGCTTAGACAAACACAGAAAATGAGCATGTCTGACCAAGAACTTAAGAGCTGCCTTAGTAAGCAAAGTGCTGGCGCACAGCAGAGGAAATGAACATTAACCAGAGGACAAAGTCAGAGCCGTCCATCACGCTACTCGCGCAGGCGGCCTTCACCTCTGTGTGAGGCTGAGCTCTACGAAGTTAGCCGGAGAAGGTGGGCCGCCCATCACAGCGAGCTTCCAATCACCGCGAACGGCACGCAGAGCCTGGGGGAGCGTACGTGAAGACTTTCACAGCAGCAATGCCGAAATGGGGGAAGAAATCGGACAACAAAACCTGTAAGATCCCTCCCACTGCGCCGGTTCTCTGAACTAATGAATGCGCAATTAGCCATTTTAGTCTGTACCCCAAGTTAAATACAGTTAGAAATGCCTTAATTAAAGTAAGGTAAATGCTATACTATGGTCTAGAGAAAAATATTAAAAATCAGTACCCAATGAATCATATGCAAACACACTTCATCCTGAAATTTTTAAGAGATAATCACAACATTCAATCTTTTGCTTGCTGTTGGGCTTCATTAGGTTTATCATACTTACAATTCTAGCCATGCTAAGCTGGAGTCCAAACACCAAGTTTAATTCTTTGCCTTTAAACCAACTCACAGCATATGTATTCTGGGCAACTGCTAAGGACTCCCCACCAATCCTAAAAATGAAGAAAGGAAGAAAAGTCACAGCTTTTCACGGTCAGCAATGCAGCAGGTTTAAAATTTTGACACCCCTCTAATCAAAGGTCTATGCCCCTCCCCTGCATCCAGCTGGGCTTGTGATGGCTTCAACGAACAGAACATGGCGGGGCAGCACTCTGTGACACCAAGGCCGGGTCATAAAAGGTGGCATCTGCCTTTTCACTCCAACATTCACACTTGGAGCCCTGAGCCACCTCGTAAGAAGACCACCCTGAGCCTGCCACGCTAAGAGAAAGCCGAGCCACAGAAAGAGTCCACGTTTAGGTGCTGCAGCCCGCAGTGCTCGTCTTCATGTCATCCCAGCCCAGGCACCAAACATGACAGTCAACGAGCTTTCAGATGATTCCAGCCCCTAGCCTTCCACAAATCTCTCCAGCTGGGGCTCCAGACATCAGCTGCACAGATAAGCAGCCCCTGCTGTACCCTGAACCCAGGAATCCAAATTCCTGACCCACAAAGCCCGCACACACAAGGTAACGGTGGTTCTAAACTGCTAAGTGTTGGGGAATTTGACATGCCGCAGTGATACCCACGACAGGCAATAAAAGGAGTCTGAGTTCCACATCACCATCTATGTCATATAAAACGTTCACGTGGGGAGAGTGGTCCATACTTTATGAAAGCACAGATATTCCCTCTTTTCAGGCTGATACCCTCCATGTTCAACATTCTCCTACCGCCCGGGTTTTAACTTTCCTTCTGTAAGTTCTACATATTGATCATCCCCTGCTCCAGGCCTTGAGCTAGGCGTTTCCTCTCCTCCGTATCCTAACACTGAGCCCTCCTCACCACTCTGTCCTGGTCCAAAGACATCTCCTGTCTCCTCTACTAACCCAAATCTTACACTGACGTCAGGCCCACTTGGTCCATGAGGCCACTTCCAACGACACTTCCATCTCTGAATCCCTTTCATATTTTTATGTACATTTTATTATTTCTCTCTCACTTAGAGCACTTTTTGGGGTATCTCACATATGGCTACATGTCTCTGGTACCTGTGCAAAGCTTGAATAAGTTACGTCATCTGTGTCCCTCAGGGCAGGAAGCCCAAGGCTGGACTCAGAATGGGCTCACTGAACAACACGAAATTCATGAGGGGCAATCGGTCTACTGGTTGCTCATTCAAGATGCTTGACAGCGTCCAAAAGGACCTGTGCCTCACCCACTAAGACAGAGCAAAATCTTCCTGAGTCACCAGCCTAGAAATCGATGGTCTACAGTTTTCTAAACGAGGTTTAAACCAGAGTCTTCAACACAACAGCAAACACGCAGGAGACTGTCATTCCTGGGGAAGCATTTAATATTCAACTCCCACACACAGTCAACCATGCCCACTCAACATCGCTGCTTACTTTAAAGGAAAATTAAGACAACTAATGAATAGCCTTATTTATATGTAGCTAGATTTCAAGGATACGAAGTAATTCTCCAAAAGAGACAAGTTTTTGTAAATGTTTAATAAACTGATAGATGAACACTAAAACAATAATATATTAGAATAAATGAAATTATGCATAACTTACCCAAACACAAATCTTCCAAATTCCATCAGCCAAAAGGCATTAAAGATTCCACCCAGAGCAAACACCACCTAGAATGCAGAATCAGTGCAAAAATAAACTCAAGGTATGCAAGAGAAATAGCAACTTACGATGCGTCACAACTTCCACAACAGTGGTAATGTTCCTTCTCAGTGAATGTCACTGCTAGTCTGTCTCGAGGCTTAACACGGCCTTGTGGTATGCTGCACAGGCACACACGGACCCTGCTTAACACGGCCTTGTGGTATGCTGCACGGGTGCACACGGACCCTGCTTAACACGGCCTTGTGGAATGCTGCACGGGCACGCACGGACTCTGCTTACTTAAGTAGGCATTCATTAAACATATCTTTGCTGGTGGAGTTAGACAAGAACTCAAAAGTCACTGCCACATAATGTCAACGAATGACAGTGAATGTTTAGGCCTTTTTTACCTGCCCAGTGCAAACAAAGCAGCTAAAAATAATGGTGCCCCATCTGAGAGAGAGAGAGAGAGAGAGTAAATTAAAAGGATGTTACCAAGTCCTTCAGTAAAAATTCACTTTGGTTTTCTTTGACCCCTCCGCATTCCCTCCAAGGAAAGAAAATGAGGTGCTGGTCTGCCCCTAAAGTGAGCAGCTTTCCTAGGCTGAATGCTAATCTACACAAGTCTTGACTTCTAAGGGGATTCTAGAGCCTTCAGTAATGGCATATGATGATTTAAGCTACTATCACCTCTTAAAAAAACCTACTAAATAATCTTTAAGAAATTTCCAGGGTTCCAATTTAAAAAGAGACATTATAAAATTTCTATTAAGTTTAGGATTGATTCCAAGGAATTCTAAATTAAGTGGTTACAATTCTTGATAACTAAAAACTATTTTTAAAAGGACAAATACCAACCATGTTAACACAACCAGAAATCTGCCTCTAACGTTGCACACTTTGAATATCTGATTAATGTTTCCCCAGAGTGACAGCATCCGGCATTAGAAGAGTCCTTAGAGATGTGGGGAGTAAACCGTCTTCAGAAACTCAAACCCCTCTCAAGATCCTGGTGAAATGGCCATACCACATTTCACTGAATGCTCTCCAGCACTAGAAACTCACCGTGGTCCCAAGGCAATTCACAGCCCCTGCTCTCAACCCGACCAAGCAAAGTCTTCATCGTACTAAGTGGAATCTGTCCCAGTGAAGTTTCAGGCTAATTCTATCCCTATACACCAAGTGAAATAAATTTAATTCCTCCTTTAACTCTTCAAAATGTTTAAAAGTTAGTCCCCAAATCTAAACACTTACAGTTTCTTCAATTCTTTTCCACCAGACATGGCTGGAAAACTCGTCATTTTGCCCTCTGCCTTCTGAAAACATTCCCAGTCTACATTCCTCTTAACGACATACTAACACCACACACGATCACAAGGACAAAAAGTGGCAGAGCTCACAGTGCTACTCCTTCCTCAGCATCTAACAGAAGCGGTCACAAAAAGTTCCATGTCCAAAGAAAGGCAGAAAGAGAAAATTTCTCTGGGGCTGGAAGAGGCCGATACTAGGCACGTGCAAACCCTGAACCTCCACCTCTCTCAGTCCTCACGACCACCTCGTCAGGCAGGAATTACCGTCCATATTCACCGATAAGGAAACTGAAGCTCAGGAAGCTACAACAGCTCCGAGGAGCTGGGAAGTTGAGCAAGTGGGAACAATGGGATTCAGACCCTGGCGTGCCTGCTTCCAAGTGAGGGCATAATTTACCTTTAGAGAACTGAGTTACCTTATTCCGGGAGCAGCATTTACTCATCCCAACCTTAACTGAAACACCAAGTTTCAAAAACCAATTCCAGAGACAAAAAAAATCATAAAAAAAATAATAAAGCAGATTATCATAATCAATATAGCGTTTATTCAGTTCTTTTTAGAAATAGCTTAATCTAGTTCTGTGTTTTCCTAATAATCAGATTTTACCCATAGGTGAGATTTTTTTCAAGCTTACCGTATTCCAAACACTCGGTCTATCAAAAAGCCACCAAAGAAACACAAAACTACATTGGGCCAAGAATACCAGGCATAGAGCAGCATGAATTTCGTGGTATTCACCTGCATATCCTATATGGAAAGAAAATAAAACTATTTTTTTCCAAACAGTTAAGTTTAGCAACTAACAATGACAACATTCTTTCTGTGTAGGGTAGGAGTTTCTTCATCATTTGTGCTCACTAAGTGCTCTGAGAATCTCCTGAGGGCCATGGCCCCACCTGGGAACCCTGGGAAGCCCCTGAGTCCACATGCCATTTCAGAGGCTTCGTGGAGTCCAGGATCAATCAGATCCCCCACTACAGGAGCACCTCCATCTGCATCTGCCTGTGTCTTCTCTATTCTTACTCCCCATAGACTACCTGTACTGGGGCTCCCCCCACATGGAAAAGGGGAATCCTAGCCTATTCCTACCCACTCCCAACTTCTTTTTTCCCTTTCATTCTAGAATGTGAAGGACCAATCCATGCATTTCTCCCTGCCCAAAAGCAAAAAACTTAGAAAGAAAAAAACTATCTAAATACAGGAGAAACTTTAAACATCAAACATAATTTTTTAAAACCAGACTAAAATACTGATATAAACAATACTCTGCAATCAGTACCCACATTTAATAAATGAAATAACAACAAAAACTTATTAAGAGAGCAAAAGGCTATCTTACCAAATCATCTGTCATTCAGATAATTACACAATGCAAGAGTGAAATGCAGCAAAATCTGCTAATATTTTTCGGCAATATTGTAGAAACAGCACTTTATTTATCTAAGGTGTGAAACGACATCAAGTCATCAGTGCCGTAAATGAATTCCTTGTGGCCAGTCATTCCAACTCAAGAACACTCCTTGCTGCACAGATCTGGTGGCCAGAGATGTCAACACAGATTCATCAGACTGTTTCAGACTAGGCAACGTGCGACGGGACGACGCCTCCACAGCTAAACCTGCTCCAGAGTCAACGAAAGGAACAAAGGTGAAAAAGCAACTTACCCGCTTAAACTGACTCTGAAGCGCAGCAGGATTATCATAGCAAAAATAGCTGCCTAGAAAAAGGAAGAGCAAATCGTTTACAGTAATAATACTACCCATACACAAGTCTCAAGTTGCAATTACTACTCAAATGGTGATTTTAAATGTTTACATTAGGCTCTCGGGGCCTGACACCAGGGAAACATTTTGGACCACTTCCTTGTCCGCTAATATTTTCCAGGTTGTAGCCAAACACAAGGAGAGAAAACATGCCCGATGGTTTACAAATCATTAGTGAGGAAATACTGGGAACCTGGACGAAGCTAACCAACAACTAACTGTTCTTCCACCTGACTTGCATCATGCTGCATAACGTCTATTATTAGCATCCTCACGAAGCAGCTATACTTCCCCCTTATTTAAAGCTAGCAAAACACAAACGCTAAACATTTCACGGACACTCTCCTAGCAAAGGTACCTGAAGTCATCACTTATTTTGAGAGCAGAAAAATGGAGTTTAACTACTGTGACTAATCCAATATTTGAAACCAAGAGTTGTAACTCTACAAATAGAACACTCAAGACCAAATAATTTAGCGAAGACACCACCAAGAATGAAGAAATGAAGACAAAAAAGAGGTCTAAAGGATTAAATTGAAACATAATAATAATGTCTGCTGGGGAGTAAGAAAGAAGTGGAGAGAGGTATGACATTCACGCGCTCAGATTTATTTCTAAAGCAATATAACTGACAGATTTTTGCAGGCCACAAGATAATACCGCCTCCATTTCTCCATTAACTCTCTCTAGAGTACATATCAGAAGCTACTGGTTCAAAACAAAGAAAAGCGTCACTAGAAAAGTATGAATCTGGTGTCTGAAACCCAGGCAGATAACTATAATTTACCAAAAATAATCTGCCTGCTGCCGTAGCGGCAATCTTAAGTGTTTTGTGTTGTTCTTGTTTTTTGTTCCTAAACCTAGAAATTTGTGATTCCTGTTTTAATCGTCATGAGAGATACCAATGTCATATTTTAAGGTTAATGGATGGGCATGATCTTTCCACAAAGGGGGCAGGGGGACAGAGAGAGCCGCCAAGAAACTAAAGCTCAAAGCATCCTTCATCCCTACTTATATATTCCATCACCAGCATAAAGTTATCACCATAGTATTTCTAAACCTACTGATTACACTGGTTCCAGTGAGCCCCCTGAAAAACTCGTTATTTTGACACCAAATACTGACATTAGCATGTCGCTGAAACACAGGCAGATGTTTTAAAATTATCTCAGGAAACTGCCTTCATAGTCATCAGATTTTGTAACCGAAACCAAACACCGCCAAGCCTACCACAAGTCCAATCCAGAAAGATTGCTTCACAGTGGAGGAAAGGCAGAGGACACATCTACCCACTGAAGCCATCAGACAGACAGACTCCTACATTTCCCCAAGGAGGGTGACACACCTATGAAGGACTACCAAATTATTCATTCAAAAAAGAGGAGGACGCACTAATTAAACTTTCCTGAATTCTTCGGAACAAAGTGTCCTGAGAGAGGAACCTTGCCCATTCAGGGGCTCCTTCACGTCTACGGCCCCGGGCCCGAGTTGCTAGCCTCTAGGACTTCCTGGAGAGCAAAGGCGCGGGACAAACGCGCCCGGCTCGGTCCCCTGCCCCCACCTTCGGGACGCCGCTAGCTAGCACGTCCAAGGGTCGGGTGGGGTCGCGAAGGGAAAGGAAGGGAGCCCAGGAGCCGCAGCCAGAAGCTGCACGAAGGCCGCGTAGCCGCGGGCGCTCGGCGCGGCCCTCGCGCTCCCGGGGAGCCGCGAAGGCTCGGCTCCCAGCCCCCGGCCCGGCCGCCGGCTCACCGAAGCCCAGGAAGCACATCAGTAGCAGCACCAGCAGCCGGTGCGCCAGGCGGCCGGGGTCGCAGAGGGCCGGCAGCGCGCTGGGCGCGCCGGGGCCGCCCGCCAGCAGCGCCCGCGCCTCCTCCTCCTCCTCCTCCATCGAGCCGGCCGGGCACCGACGAGCGACAGCGGCCGGCCCAGGGCGGAGTGCGGTCACATGGCGGCGCGGCGCACGTGACGCCACGGGGGTCACGCGGGGCTACGCTCACGTGGGTGGCCGTGGGCACGTGGTGGGCGGGGCCGGGCCGGCGCGCAGCTGGCCGGGGCGGGCTGCGGGGCGGGGTTCCGCCGGGAGCGGAGCGGGCTCGGGTCCGGCCCCCGCGCGGTGCGGGGCGTCAGGACGCGGGCACGCGCGCCGACTGCTGCTGCGCAGCCCCTTGGGGTCCTGGGCCGCACTGGGTTGAGCGCCGTCCCTACGCGTGCCGGGTCCTTGGACCTCGGAGGGTTCACGGTTTAGATGGAGAAGTCGACAGGAACTGATCCTTTAAAAATAGTTTGATGAATGGATGAATGTGGCGAGAACAGCGGCTGAAATAAGCGCCAAATTCTATAGACATGGCTGGGAAAGGGGGAACAGGTGCTCAGTTTAGCCAGCCTTGGGGGAGGGGGTGGGGAGTGCTGGAGCTCCCTGAATTTGATATCTAAACCAGGTTAGTTAAAATGAGCCAGTCATGGTGCCTCGTTAAGAGGGAGGGCCCTTCAGAGGGGATGGTAGGAGGGATAATAAAGATGCAGGCCTGAAACAGAGCTGGATGTGCGCGTGTTTGTATTGATCTGGGAAGGAGAGAGCAGAAACTCCAAACAGAAAACTCTAAAGAGAGTTGAAACACTAAACCTGTTCCGTGAGGAGCCATGCACGGATTTCAAGCAGGGTAGCAAAAATGCAAGATTGGTATTTTTAAAAATTCGGTCTGGCCACGCAAGCCGATCTCCCGCTTTCTGGGTGCACCCAGGCTTTGCCAACATCATTTTGAGAGTGACAAGGCTGGAGGTTGAATAACCGTAAGGATTATTAGCAATTAGGAAGATAAGAGGTGGTAAGGGCCTGTGCTGAGGAAATAGGGATGGAGCAAAGGCGGCACAACAAGATTATAGGAAGTGAGACGGAGATGACTTTCTGAATAATAGTAGATGAGGTCTGAAAGAAAGGAAGGACTTGAAAATGTGCCCCAGGTTTTGTTACCTACCCTGATATCAGTTTACCCACCTTAAACCCCGCATGTATGGGGTTAAAACCAAAACACTCATTCCCTGCTTACTCTGGCTTCCTGGCTCCAGAACCCACTATCCTCCATGGAGACAGTCACTGCCAAGGATAAGCCCCTGGATTCATTATCTCCTCCCAGCAAAGAGATACCGGCTGGTGGGAAACCTGCTGACCAGCAAGGTCCTGGGCTCCCTCCTCTCTGCAGGTGTCTCAAGGCCAAAGACAGGCACCGGGAAAGCTCCAACCAGCAAGGCCATGTGCTCCCCCTCCCCTACCTAAAACCCCAAATAAAAGCCCTTCCCTTTAGCTTTTCAGGGAGTTTGGGATTTCAGTGTTAGCTGCCCTCTCTCCTTGCTCAGTGCTGTGCAAAAATAAAATTCCTACTTTCTTCTGCCACACCTGGTGTCAGAGATTGGCTTGCTGGGCAACGGGTGAGCGCACTCACTTCAGGTTTGGTATCAGTTTCTAGTGTGAGCCCCCATAGAGATGAGAATATTGGAAGACTAGGGGAGAGGGCCAGGCGAGGCAGATCATTTGGAAGGCGTTGCGTTTGAGATGTCTGTGCCGTCTCCACTGTCCACCTCCCATTCTCTCTTCTCCACAGGAGGAGCCCCCAGTCTCGTGGAACTGTCTTACCAAGATGACTAACTCCATCTTCCCCAATCACAGTGTTCACTTCCTTGTCCTCATCTGCCTTGACTTCTCAGCATCAGTTGATAGAGTTGACAGCCCCTCCTCATGGCCCTTGATACTGCGCTTGCCTTGATTCCTCCTACTTTACTGGGATCATTTGCTGTCTCTTTTGTCAGCTCCTCCCCTTCTGCCTGAACTCTAAATGTTTAAGCGCTCCAAGCCCTTCCACTTATCTGGTCCCATAGCTTTAAACATCATCACTATCTCTGTGCCATTGCTGTGTGCGGCTATTGAGCACTTTAAATGTGGCTAGTCCTAATTGAGATGTGCTGTAAGTATAAAATACACACCATATTTCAGAGACTTCGTATGAAAAAAATAAAATATCTTGTTAATTTTTACACTGATTACATGTTAAAATGATAATATTTACATATATTGGGTCAATGGAATATATCATAATTAATTTCACCTGCTTTTACTTTGCAATGTGGCTCCTAGAAAATTTTAAATTACGTATGTGGCTTACATTATATTTCTATTTATCAGTGCTGATTTATGTGCCAATGCCTAACAAAATACCTCCATTCCAGACTCCTTTTTTGAGCAATAAGACTCCTATTCCAACTGCCTATTTGACATCTCCACATGAATGACTATCAGGCATCTCAGACTGCACATAGCCAAAACGGAATCCTTGCACTGTCTCACGTGCTGGAGCTGTTCCTCGCTAAGTCTCTGCGGCGAAGCAGACGGCACAGCTCTCCACCAGCTACAGCAGTCGTCCTGGATGGCTTACTCACCTCATCTCCCACGTCTGCTCCACCTTTGGAGTTGTCTCATCAACTTTCCTCCCAAACATCTGCTGAATCCGTGCATGCTCTCCACCACTACTGTTCTTACAGATTGGGATCAGCTGGACAGCTGCACACCCCTTTACATTTTCTATTTTGCTTGTTTTTTAATGAGAAATACATATACCTGATATGACATTCAAACACTACCAAAGAGAATAGAGCTCAAAGCAAGCCTTTTCTGCCTCCCTATGTCCAGTACTCTACAGAAGTAATCACCTTTCTAGATTCTTCTGCATCCTTCCAGAGCTATCACACACAGCTTTTTTCCTTTCAACCCAACAATATACCTAGAGATTGTCTTCATTTTTTTTTTTGACAGATGCAAAGGATTCTTTTGTGTGGGTGTATTATACATTATTTAGCAAGTCCCCTACTGATGGACATTTAAGTTGTTTCCAAACTACTATACTGAGCACTGCACTGGATGGTCTGGACAATGGTCATTTTACATGTTGCCTTTACCTTTATGATAAATTCCTAAAAGTAACATTGCTAGGTCAAATAGGTATGCTTTTAAAATTTTGTTAGGTAGTGTCAAATTGTTCCCGTTAAAAATTGCACGAATCTACAGCCCCACCAACAGTGCTGGGAAGAACCTGTTCCCCACACCATCCCCGATCCAACTTGTTATCAGATTTTTGGTCTTTGCAAATCTAATAAGTGAAAAATGGCCATCATAGTGCAGTCTCAGTTTTCATTTCTATTATACAGAGTGAGGTTGACTCTCTTTATACAATTAATAGCCACTTATATTTTCTGGGAATTCTCTTCATAATCTTGCTCATGTTTTTCAGATGAGTCAGTGTCTGTCTCTTGTTGATGAAGTTGGCTCTTTGTCAGTGGTGTGTGGGTTGCAAATATTTCTTTTGACTATCTTTGCGCTATGTTTTTCTGTATAGTTTTTTTAGTGTAAATGTATCCCTTTTTTCATAAATCAAGGGTTTGCTTCCCCCACAAGATTTTCAACAGCCTTACCTGGGTTCCCTACTTCCACTGTCGCATTTCTATGATGTGTTGCCCACACAGCTGTCAGAATGATCCTTTCAGTTTGGGATCTTTTTAGTTAGTTTTCTCAAAGGATGATGAGACAACCAGCCAATATCTGAACTGGCAAAGACAAATTGGATTTACTGTGTACTCCACTAAGCGGGGGCTGTGTGGGTAGGCACAGTCTCACCAAGCAGAGCAGGCTGTTGAGCATCTCTAGGGCTTTGGGAAATATGGAGTTCAGGGGTAGGTGCATTTGGGAAGCAGAAGGGCTGGACATCATCTATCTAATTGCACTAGCTGACACCGCCAGTGCCATGTTGGATAGCAGTGGAGATAGGGTACATTCTTGCCTTGGACCTGGGATGAGTACTAAACAAACACACACTTGGGAGAGAAGGGAACACTCTTCCTCACAGTGGAAAGCCAACTCATAAATGTAGAAGGCCTGATGAAGTAGAATGTCGCCATGTGGCGACCATGATGGTAATTGATTCAAGCAAGAATCATCAGTGGTTGCTAAAATCAGTGGTGAAAGTTTGAGGAGGGATAAGATATATACATAGTCTCAAAATATCTCTTCACAAGGCATTTGTTAATTATAAAGAGAAACATAGTGCAGAAACCTGGCACACACCACCTTAACCAAGTGATCAAATCAACATTAACCGGTATTGAGACAAACTGACGTCATGCGCCTCTTGATATTATGCTCTGAGATGAACTCACCCCTCTGTGGTATACCCACCCAAAGTTCATGCCTAAATCTAATTGTGAGGAAACATCAGACAAATCCAAGTTGAGGGACATTCTACAAAATTCCTCAAAAAAGTCAATGTCATAAAAGACTAAGGCACTGATCCTGATGACAGCAGGCTAAAGAGACATGACAGCTGAATGCAGCACTTGAGCTCTAAGGAACACTGTTGGGGCAGTTGACACAATCTGAATAAGGTTTATGATTAATTTGTACTCTCTCGATAATAATTTTTTGATTTTGACTATTATACTGTGGTTATGAAAGAGAAAATACTTCATTTTAGAAAACAGACACTGACTGAGAAATTCAGAAGCCAAGAGACAACATACTTGCATGCACCTTACTCTCAAATGGTTTAAAAAATGTGTGTATACACATGTGTATGTGTACAGACAGAGAGAAGGAACAAATGTAAAATGTTGACATGTGGGGGATCTGAGTACAGGACATATGGGAATTCTTTGTACCAGTTTTACAGCCTTTCTGTAAGTCCGAAATTATGTCCACCAGACTTTGACCACTGAGAGCCTTGCACATCTTTGTATCTCAAACACTAGTTCAGGGCCCAGCTTGAAAACCGCTTCAGTGAATGGCTGAGTCCCTTAAACCAGGAAAGAGTTGTACTAGCGAGTGGTGTAACAAGGAAAGCTTACTGCCATGGAAAAACCCATTCCTGCCTACACAGTAAACTTCCTCAGTCTAAGTGCATTGTCCTATTATTAGTCAAGCAAA